GGTCCCTGCAGTGTTACTGAAAAATGTGTCGGAGCACTAAAGGTCCCTCTGACTTTGCTCTGGAAAACATCATTGAGAGAAGGAAAGATTCCAAGTGACCTAAAACTAGGGCTAATAACCCTTATCTATAGAGGAGATGCGAGAGACAAACCCCAAAATTACCGGCCGGTTACATTAAAATCACACGTAATCAAAGTATTTCAGAAGGTTGTTGCCAGAAGGTTGGTGCAGTCCTTGGGAGAGGCTGACCTTTTCAACAGAAGATAACACGGTTTTAGACGAAATCTTTGGTGCTTGTCTCAGTTACCGGAGCATCACCACCAAATCCTGGCCATGCCGGAGGAGGGGGCCGGGTGGACGTGGTGTTGTAATTGGAGTTCGCGAAAGATTTCGACAAGGTTGACTGTGGAGTGCTCTTCAGAAAATTAAGACTGCTGGGGGTCGGAGATGAATTGCTGGCATGGATCCACAGCTTCCTAACAGAAAGACTACAAGCTGTAGTTGGAGGCTCGAGATCGAGCGTTGCTAGGGTGAAGAGTGGAGTACCACAGCGAACGGTACTCAGCCCAATCCTCTTCCTCATTCACATCGCCGACATAGATGTGGCAGTGAGCCACGCCTCTCCATCGTCATTCGAAGACGACACCAGGATACTAATGCCCATAACGGACAGGAGGGTCTGCAAAATGTTGCAAGAAGACCTCTCTTCAATACATGACTGGGCCTAAGCGAACAAAATGCAGTTCAACGGAACCAAGTTTGAGGTTTTGAGATACAGAGGTAGCAGAAGAGCTGGTATGGAGCACCGCTACCTAGCACCTGACAACTCGGAAATCGAAGTGAAACGACTCGTTCGTGATCTAGGAGTGTTGATGAATACTCAAGCCAATTTTGGTGATCACTTAACGGCAATAACCGCAAGAGGTAGGCGACAGATGGGGTGGATCTGACAGACGTTCAGAACATGGGAAGCGGAAACGATAATCACACTCTTTAGAGCCCTTGTAATACCAATTCTTGAATACTGCTGCCAGCTCTGGACCCCGTTCACACTCGGTGCAATGCGGCAACTGGAAGGGGCCCAGCGAATTTTCACTTCCAGGATATGAGGGGTGGAAGAGTTGAACTACTGGGAGAGGTTGAAGCGCCTGTGGTCCGTACTCACTGCAGAAGGACGGGAGAGGAATGTCATTCTATACACATGTAAAATGATAACCGGAATGGCACCAAACTCTGACAGTGAGACATTCAGGATTGAGACATATCTTAACGAGAGAACGAGGAGACAGTACAAGATCCCCCACTACGCAATAGATCTGCTGTCAGATTACAATCCCTGCGGGAAGGATCTATTTCCGTGGCTGGGCCGAGGCGGTTTAACGCCCTACCTAAGGATATATGAGAAGGGGAGTTCATCCTGGAGACCTACAAGAGACGACTGGACGTGTTCCTGGGCACAATCCCTGATCGACCTCCTCTGCAACACTACCAGCGGTGAGAGGCACGCAACAACGTCGTGCAGAAGCTGGCCCAAATGAGCGCGGATGAGCGATAGTCGGAGGCGGTGATCCATCATGGCCTGGGACTGCTACGTCCGAAAAAATACTACGGATACTAAGGATACAAGTAGCAGTCTAGGTACACGTAGGGACCTATGTGTAAGAAGCAGCCTAAGAACACGTAGCAGTCTATGTACGCGTAGCGACCTAAGTACACGTTGCGGCCTAATTACACGTAGCGACCTAAATAAACGTAGCGGTCTGAGTACACGTAGTGGCCTAAGTACACGTAGCAGTCTAAATTCACGCATTTCTCTTTCATCCGATCTGCGTATTTTGGAATCCTTGTACATTTTATAAAGAAACCTAGTTTAAATGCAGCCTTTAGCTCGTATCCGCTAGAAATTGTGAATAGATAGATATTTATTTTATTACTCAGCCTTTGCCTGTAAATTTTGGTTTTTAACTTCAGTATTTTTTTCTTTTGAATCCGAACTTTATTAATTTCTGATTGTATTTGTGTTCTATATCTATCGAACTGATGATGGAGCTGGACTCCGAAACGTTATCAATAGAGATATGCTGAATTTTTGGGGAGTTTTCTTTGCTTTTAAATTTCTGCGAAATATTTAGTGTCTGGAAAACTTGGCCAGTAGTTCTTGGGTAGTCGATATATTGACGCAACACTTAACATCAACGATAGCCTCCTGGAGGTGCTGCTGTACGTGGTGGCGGCCCTCAGCACCCACAGTCCTCATCACTTCCAGCGGCGATGGGTAGAGCTGAAAGAAGCGCTGTGCGACGCCGGCGTAGATACTGGCAACGACACCGGCGACGACGTGAGGGACTGCATCGTCCGCTGCCCTGACCACGTCGCGGGGCTGGTAGCCGAGCTCGCTGCCATGTCGGGGGGCGGGAATTGGCACGTCGAAAACGGTGGGTGACGTTCACTCATATTGATTGGCTAGAGACGTTTACTCTTGTTGCTTGTCCAGTGCAGTGCAGTATAGTACAACACTATACAATACAATGAAATGCAACGCACAGAACAAAACAGCACAGCACAACACAATACAATACAGTACAACGCAGTACCACACAGTACAACAAAATGCAGTACAAGACAGTACAATAGGATTAAATTCGATACAATAAATAAAAACATACCAGGCATAAACAGGAACTTCACCTCTGAAAAGTTAGACCACACGAGGAGTTTTTGCCTGTTTTGGCTTTGGTGGTTACATTGTGGTTGCCTGCAGGTCACCATGTTGCCGCAGTTGCTGTAATGCTCCGATACGCTCGTCCATCTTGTGTGGAGGTGGTGATGGGGGCCGCGGCCCTAAGAGGAGCGCCGTGGGGGGCGCTCGTGGCGGCAGCGGGAGAGACGGGCGTGGAGGTCAGGCTTGGGCTGTCCAGCCGTGACCGTTACGAGCCTCATGGCGATCTCCTCTTGCCGCTGCTGAACAGCGGGTGAGAACCTGCGGGTGCAGATTAGAACCTGTAAAGGCATATATGAACCTTGCAATTGCACCTACAAACCTGCAGGTGCAGGCTAGAACCTGCAGGTATAGGTAAGAACCGGCAGGTGCCGATAAGTACCTTTTGGTGTAGGGAAGAACCTGCAAGTGTTGGCGATGCCGTCGGGGTTCTCGAGTTCAACCCTCAAGGCGACGGAGGAATACAGGAAAGTACGGGGTAGAGGAGAACATTATTAATTATCCGTAATTAAAAATATTTCAGTGTTAATAATTTCGTTATGGATAATTTCATTATTAATAATATATATTATTACAGGGTTCGTACCGGTCATGGAAAACCTGGAAAGTCACGGAACTTGATTTTCCATTTCCCAGGCCTGGAAAGTCATTGGATTTCATTTCAGGTCATGGAAAGTCATAGAATTTACAAAAAATGAAGTGTTTTTCTGTACTGCGTGTGTTTGTGCAGTCCCTTGCTTCCCTGCGTTCTGATTGACACAATCTCTTGTTTCATGAGTTCTGATTGGAGAACCAATCACGTGAGTTTGGTCTCTGAGCTCAGTTGCATTTGACAAATTTTTGATCTGCAGTGGCAGCGTTTCCTCTTCAGCGTCCAATTTCTACATCACCATGCCTGGAAAGTGTAAATTTCATGACTTGTGAAGTTGTGGTTAAGAATAGAAGCTTATCGTGACTGGCTTGCTCGCCATCTAAAGGATGAAAGTTTGGCGAAGTGTACATTGTGCTCGAGAGACTTCAATGTGTCAAATATGGGGAAAGCAGATTTGAGGAGCCATGCCAAAGGCAACAAACACACCAAGTGAGCTAAGCAAAACGGTGAAGATAAAAGCAAAGCGCAGTCCCGCATTTCCGATTTGGGGTCCTCTGACAGTAATGCAACTGCAGTTTCTTGCTCCAAAAGTGTATGAGGGAATAGGCCGTCACAAAAGTCAGCATGCATCAGCATGGTAGTGTCTACTGCCACTGTGAATGTAGAGATGGAGAGCAGGGGCCGCATTATCAAAACTTCGTAACTTTTTGTACTTACGACAAAAAAGTTACGTGTTACGTAGGTACGCCCTAATTTTGGCATTTACAAATTTTCGTACGCAAGTCTTACCTAAGAGCGTATTATCAGAACCATCTGGCTAACTGACCAATCAGAGGCTTTAGATTTGTTCTTCCTGTAGCTCCAGTAAGCTCCTCTCGATCAGTGCGCCGTGCGCTTGGACGAAAGCAGGATGTACGGTGTCAGTGCCATTTGCTGTGCCTGACTAGGGTGTATTTTGATAAATGAGTGAGACGTTATCCAAATAGCAATGCACTTGTTGTTGTGATCATTAACCGAAATTTCTTGCAATAAGGTCAAATAAATTCATTAGTCCCATTCAATATTAGAAGAATTTTTTAGAAGGTTACAAAGAATTTAGAAAATTTCGTGAGTGGAGTTGCGACTGTCGTAAAAAGAAATAAATTTGTTTGCAGAGAACTATAAAAATGGTTCATATCAACCTCAATATAATATCGAACCTAAACGGCATTAAGATATTGTTCAATTGAATGATCATAAAACTCTTAGATATGAATATCGACATTTGCTTGTAAATTATAGCACAAAAGGCAATTGCCATTTTTATCCCAGAAGCACCGTTTAGCACGATCACACATTATATGTCGGATTATTGATCAATTCTATCACAATTCACCGTGTTGCTACTTGCTAGTAAATCAATAGTTTCCTATTGCTTCAGCAGACACTCTAAACTTGTGCTGAACTCCACTTACGACATCTCCGAGCAGGCGTACAGTTACGTTACGTAGCTTCCCGCGCAAATGTTTTGATAATACCACCGCTAGAGTTACGTCATCATATCAGCACTTACGCCTCTCGTAAGTCGATTTTGCGTACTTACGAAGTTTTGATAATACGGCCCCAGGCCTGTATCCACTGCCAAAGCCAACCTCAATGGCGAACTGACCAGCTTTGTAACAAAAGAAGATGTTCTGATGTCTGGACAAGATGACCATCACCAAGAAGATGCTGCTTGCAGCTGGCAGCGCCAAAAAAGCCTGCAATAATTATTTGGCAGAAGTGAAAGAGCAGAATGCGAAGGCCCAGAAACCCCAGAAGAGGATGGCTCTGTTGGATGAACTAGATGAACAGAAGAAGAAAAGACGATCGGAGGAGGGCATCAAGGCGCTTGAGCAAGCAGCAGATGAATATACAGAAGCAATAGAGAGAAAGGGGGATTTGAAAATTATTGCAGAGTTCAATGCCATGAGGGATCTTTGAAATCAAAGCAACAGGAGCTAGACACTCGTGAACTGAACATTAAAGAAAAAGTGGATGAAAAAGCTGCCAGTTGAATGTTAGGGTAGTGGTGTTGAAAAGTGGTTGAACTGTATTGACATTATCATGTACAATCTTGTGTCCATTACTCAATATTTGTTGTGATTTGACACTATTGAATTCATAATAATACCAGTGTGGGCTTGAATTTCAGATTTGTGTCATTTATGTTCCTCTGTGTCTGCCTGCTCTATGCATTTACACGTTTGATATTTATCAGTTGTAGGAGATGGTAGAATATGCACGGTCAATCTTTCTGCCATGCTAAACTTGTCGTATACGAGTCTTGGAAAATTATATTGATGGTCATGGAGAGTCATGAAAAAGTCATGGAATTTTTTTCTAAATACCGGTACGAACACTGATAATTATATTATTAATTAATAATTAACAATATTATTATTTTTATAAATAATTTATTAACAATAATAATTATTATTATTTAAAAAATTTTTAATATTATATTAAATAACTAATTTTCGTAGCCTCGGAAATAATATTTGCGGGAATAGCGGCTGTGGTGTTGTCCATTACAAAGATTTGCTGGTCACATTACAAGGGATTGCTGGTCCATAGCAATGAACTGCTGGCCCATTATAAGGAATTACTGGTCCATTAAAATTTATTGCTGGTAAATGGATTGCTGGTCCATAACAATGAGTTGCTGGTCCATTACAATGAACCGCTGGTCCATTACAAAGGATTGCTGGTCAATTACAATGGATTGCTGGTCATATTCATGCCTCCTTTCACCCTCTTGTGGGACAGGGTGAGGTTAGTGGAGTTCAGCGGCTGCGTGGGCCCCGCTGAGGTCGCTGCCATCGCTTCAGTGGCTAACGGCGCTGTCCTCCGCATCCGCTTGGCGGCGCCCCTGGACCTCAGCGTCCTCCGGGGGACATACAAGGACCTCTGTGAGTCTTGCCCAGCACTGGGGGGGGGGTGGGTTCCGCTGAGTCCGTGGGTGCCGTAGTTATATTTTGTATAGCCGTTATATATTGTAATGCCTGGTGATTATCCGCCAGGATAATAACCAAATAACAAATAACCACACAAAATATGCTATTAAATATATCTCAAATTAATTAACTATTAAACTTATTAGCATTAAATAACAAACTATAACACAGGAGGCCTAAATCTATTACATTGGTATCGTATGCTGTATATGGTTATAAATAGCATAATCTACAAGAATATTCAATGTTTTTATAATGCATATTATTTTATGTATATATACATTATATTATGTACATATGTTCTTGGATAAAGCTGTTATCTTGCATCACTGTTACCTTACATCGCTGTTATCTTGCATCACTGGTATATCTGCCATCTCTGTTATCTTGCACCACTGTTAACGTGCATCACTGTTATCTTGCATCACTGGTATATCTGGCATCTCTGTTATCGTGCATCACTGGTATATCTGGCATCTCTGTTATCTTGCATCACTGTTACCCTACATCGCTGTTATCTTGCATCACTGGTATATCTGGCATCTCTGTTATCGTGCATCACTGTTATCTTGCATCACTGGTATATCTGGCATCTCTGTTATCTTGCACCACTGTTAACGTGCATCACTGTTATCTTGCATCATTGTAAACTTGCATCACTGGTGTCCTCATTTTCGCCTTATATGACCTGCGCAGTTGTCTACACGCGCCTCATCCCGCCCCCTGGCCCCCTCTCCCCTACGTGGTCGCTTCCTCCCTCCCCCCTGCCACGATTGCGCGTGGAGGGGGCGGATGAGGGGTCCTGGGGGGCAGTGGCCCACACCATCACCTCCCTTGCCCCCCCTGGCAAGAGGTGCGTAGCCACCTCTATTTCCCACGGTGGGAAATAGAGTTCCATTTGATATACCTGCATCGTATAGTTATACATAGTATAGCCATACATTGTATAGTTATGCAGAGTATAGACATATATCGTATAGTTAAACATCGTGTAGTTATACATAGTATAGCCATACATCGTATAGTTATAACTTATACATAGTGTAGTCGTACATCGTATAGTTATACGTAGTATAGATATAAATCATATAGTCATACATCGTGCAGTTATAAACTGTATAGTTATAGATCGTTTTGCATCGAGTAGTAATATATCGTATATTTATACATCGAATAAATATACGATTTATATTTAATCGTATGGTTATCCATCGAATTGTCATACATCGTATAGTTATAAATCGTCGTCAAATATAGTTTAGTTATATATCGTATCGTTATTCATCATAAGTCATTCGGCGTATAGTTATAAATCGTGAAATTATACATCGCATAGTTAAACAGCATACATGTGTGCATAGTCCAGTTTTACATCGTATAGTGATATATCGTACACTTATACATCGTAGAGTTATACATCATAAAGTTATACATCGTTTAGTCATGCATCGTGTAGTTATACATCGAATAGTTATATATCGCATAATTATACATCGTATAGTTACACTTCATATTGTCATACGTCGTTTGGTTATACATCTTATAGTCATACATCTCACAGTTATACATCATTCATTTATGCATCGAATAGTTTTACATCGTATATTTATATATCGTACAGTTACGCATCATATTGTCATACATAGTATAGTTATACATCGTATAACTATCAATCTTATTTTTACGCATCGTAGAGCCATATATCGTATGGTTATTCATATATATTGACCTTATCGTTTCTCTTCATTCAGTGTGGGTACGTGCGTCCGGGGTACGAACAGGTTGAGGGAGTTATGCGTCTGGGGGAATATCGCTGCAGTTAATTTGTGCGTCTGGGGGAATGACACCGCTGTTGTGTGTCTGGGGAAATGGCACTAAATTTGTGCGTCTGGGGGAACGACACTGCATTTTGTGCGCCCGGAGGAACGAGACTGTAGTTTGTGTATCTGGGGGAATGACACTGCAGTTTGTGTGTCCAGGTTCAGGTGGCTGTCGCTGTGGGGCTGCAGGCTGCGTGCCGCGGAGCTGAGGCTGCTGCTGCACAATATGCTGGCCGCGTGCATTAGGACGGGCGGCGGGGGTGACACGCGCGCAGAGGTTGGCAAGTGAGTGAACAGCGGCCACTGAACTGTGGGACAATATTCCTATATCACAAATTCTTATATACTCGTATATATAGACTACAACCCAATCAAAATTTTGATTCCTGTAAGCCGGTGGCTCAAGGACGCCCCAAGCTCGCCTAGCGCGTTAATTAGCTGCTTTATGTCCGCTTTAGGTTCTGGTGGTAAGAGGAAAATAAGCACCTGATTTGAATCCGGTCTATTCTCTAATAACCGTGAAGCGAGTGTGAGGCGCGCATATTCGGCACCTGATTCCTTCGGGACAGACATGGCCGAATCTGGAAAGTGCGATAAAAAATGCCCCTCCCTTCCCCTCATATAATGGCGGGAAGGGTGGGGCATTTGAAACTCTGCGGCCGGATTATCAAAACGTCGTATCTTTTTTATACTTACGTGCAAAAAGATACGTGTTGCGTAAAAACACCTTAATTTTAACGCCACGCTTCTGTTTCCAGTTAGTTAAACATTTTTAGCTTTTTAGAGTATCCTAGACGCTTTTACTCTACAAAATCAATGACAAATGCCGTTTCATTATAGCAAAACAAGTATTAATGAATAATATGTTCTATATATCCATTAATATCTATAGATTATAGATAGATATATATATATATATAATCTATTCATTATTTAGCTCTACAAATTACTCATTGTCTATTGGCATGTGCTGAGAAACAATTCATTAGATGCATTACTAACATAATTCCATAAATATAAAAAATTTTCTAACTAAAAATTTGAGGATTTTAATTGAAATTATATAAGAGTCTATACATTAGTATGATACTATAGTCTAGACACTAGTTGAGTCCAGACACTAGTAACTAAATGATTACCAACCACTTAAGGCTTGTAGTCAAAATGCAGCGAAGTCTGAGAGGGAGGTTTTCGCGACCATCGTGTAAAATCCTTGATCTGCCCAAAGCTCGGCCAGTCGCTACCCTCGAGCTTGTACTCTTATAGATTGTACTCCTAGCCAGACCCTTCTTTGCGGTAACTGGTCGCTTTCAGGTGGCCGAGGAATGGCCAACGGTCGGCTATAACTAATTGGATAGGCCGACCACTGGCCACGTATTATTCTTCGCCCCTCATTGATTTCGCCTTTACCATGCCACCCGTTGTGAACTGACAGTTGAGTAATTTACGATGTCTCTTTCCCCTCAAACATTGCACAACGTCTTCATTTGAGCAGTTAGTATGCGGGATTTTCCCTCCGCGTATCAGCAGACTCGATCATAAATATTTGTTGGTAGAAAATATCTATTACAAGGAAGCTGATCAAGGAATGCCGAATATACCATTCAATTGACAATAAAAATTACAACCCGTTTATATCTCGAAAAAAGTGTAAAAAGTCGCAGATATGATGAACAATAATATTCAAAGTTTTTTTAAATTTCCTCTCATTAAAACTTTTAATACAAAGTTTACATATTTTTTATTACTGGTCGACGCTTATAAATAAATAGCTGGGTAAGTATGGAAAAATCCATATCGCCATCTCATTTGCGAGTGGAGTAAAGTCTATCCTAATTAGTGAAGAAACGCTTAGGGAAGAGCCGAGCCTGTTCGAAGCCTCTCGGCTTTCAATCAGGGCCTTAACCAATTAACAATTTGTACGTAACTCTGCTTACGACACCTCCGAGCAGGCGTAGAGTTTTGCGCAAATGTTTTGATAATATTACCGCTAGAGTTACGTCTTCATAACAGCAATTACGTAACATGTAGGTGGGTCTGTTTACGTGGCGATGTTTTGATAATACCGCCCCTGTACGCTAAATATATGCTGTCTAGGACTACTTGCATAGTTTTGAAGATCAGAGTACAGTCTATCAGAGGCTCAATTTCCATGCATAGACGTTTACAGCTAGTTACTGGAGAGACAATCAGATAAATGGCGGAATATACGATAGTTATGGGAAATCCTCAAATCAAATATGTTGCTGATAGATGGGATCCTTGTAAGCGATGGTTTATGATCTATCATCTGTTTGAGCAATAAGCTAGAGAATGCAGACATATGCATAAAGCTTAACAGGTCTCTTGTTGAGGAAACCATTCGTCTAGCAAACAATCGTACCGGGATCTCAAAATATTGCTTGCGACTACTGAAAACCTGAAAAATAGAAGCATTTCTAACGTCAATTCCAGTGACCATTTCAATGTTTCTAAGCTCGATGGAAATTTCATGAATCTATCCTCGTATAATTTGTAATTCTTCAGAGATAATCAAATTCATTCTTATACGTAAATGTAACTCAAATCATGAAAAGTGATGATACGGCGAAATAGAGTAGATAGTAACGGAACAAGAGCAACTAACTTACTAAAAGGCTTTGCAACCTGTTGTCGTGTACAGATGCACAGCCCAGTTGTGAGACTACCGACGAATCCTGACCACACAATCGACTGTTGCGTAGCCTCGTAGGCAATGATAAAATTTCGATTGCATAAATCGATCTAGTTGACGTAGAAATTTGAACCTTGTCCAGTCAAATGCCAATGTGGGCAACGATGTAGATTAGTGTGGGTTACTGCAGAACGCGGAAGATCTGACCACTCGAAGATTTGGTCGAATTTCCCTAAACAATCTACAGATGCACGGCGAACTATCGACTATGGTTTTATGGTGGCAGATTGAAGTATATGAGTGTAGACAACTTTTCAGTGCAAACCGAAAAATTCATGCGCAAACTTGTCAGGTGGCTATTCAATCTAAGAGAATAATGAATCAGAAATTGATATACACTTTAATTTATGACTAAAGGGAATCATGATTGCGTGATGAACACATATTGACTGATTATATGTCATTTAGATATTATTCGTTATTGACTCAGTTAAAAAATTAATGGTCCTTCAATCATTCTCATTCAGTTAACTTTTATAGTTTTATCAAGTTACCAAATGTTATGTTGTTTGTTATTGGTCACTTTCCCGTTTCTAAATCACGTTAAAATTATGTTTCCAATAGATAATTCAGGATGATTTATTTATCGGATGAAATATCAGTTCTCTATCATAAACTCAAATGACTTCATGTAAACAAGAAATATGTTAACGCAAATCGTTTCAGCTCGATATCGTTTTAGCTCGAGCTTTAGAACGAAAATTACAATCTCGGTCTTCCGTGTGACAACATCTCATCGTCACTAATACCTTGAAATTTGAACAACTTATCTGACCCGCTCGTCTGTCGTTAGTTTTCGCTGAATAATTCAGCCTGTTGTGAAAGTGTTTACTACGAAAATAAATACAACATATAATTCGATCGCACGATTAGTTGAAACAAACTATCCTTAAGCCTTGGTTAACCATTAGGGAAAAGTTAATCCTAATCGCAACGGGTCCACGTGAAAACGCACTTCGTTTATTATAAATTACGAAAAAAATAACCACAAATCTCACAGCCTTGCCTGTCGAAATACTCTTCAACTGAAATCTATTCTTGGCGTTGGATCAATAATATTTTTTGATTTTTTGACCTATAATAATTAGGGAGGTCCTTTAGCAAACCACGTATAAACTTAAACCGCGGATTGAGCTGCCCCGCGCGACGGCACCGAGGTATATGCCCCCTGTCAAACTCACGACATCAGTGTTCAGCGAGCAACAGAGTTTGAAGGAACTTTAGCTTTCCGCTGTGTCCATACGTCTCATTTCACGTAGTTTTTGCATTGGCGGGCAATGAACTCACAGATAATGAAATAAAAAAAAACGATTGGGACAAATAAACTCATAAAGAAACCTGCTATGAAGATGCACTTGCACCAGTAACGAAAAGCACATGCCCCGGCGATGAAGATGCACATGTTTCCAGGCATATGCACACGTGAATAACTTACAGTCTCCTCACCATCAATAGCATCACCACAATATCGAGCGGTCGGAATAGTCGTACACGGCAATGGCTCTGATTGAGACCATGAATTCGGTCGTTTCATTCTCATAGTTTTTTTAAATGGATTCGAGTTCACAATTGTGAGTTTAAAGAGAGGGTAAAAATCATTTGCAGCCGAGGTTGTAGCGCGGCGCAAAAACCCGTGGCGATTAGGGCTAACTTGGTCATCGTCGGTTGGCAGCCATGTCTTTCGGTTGGCAGTCATTCGATTTCAATAGCAGTGGAACTTAGGATCACGATTATTGCTGTGTCGACTCTATTGTGATATCTCTAATAAGTCGACTCTAGACATGGGCCTCACGTTAGAGACATTTCGAGTACATGAAATGATGAAATTGCCATCTGTCAGTAATTAAAATCTATTACCCTGTTACTCTTGTGACATTCGAATCTCTGCATTTGACATGCCAAGACGGCCAAATTAAGAAAAATTTTCTAGAATTTAGAGGGGGACTTAATGAACACTAACAAATTTCATATTGTATACTTTTGACTGGAAATGAAATTTTTCTTCATAAACTAACTGATACTTTTTTACAAGCTAAGTGATCCAGCAGGATTAATCTTGAAACAATCATAACTTCAATTCAAGACAGTTAGGGAAAATTTCTGAGGTGTAAAATATTTTCAGAGATTTGAAACAAAATTTCTTATTTGCTACGCAGTAGCTGTCTTCTAGATATCGTGTCAAACTTGATAATACCACTGTTTCATGGATTTTTTCCTCATTACTAGGTAAACTATGGGTTAATATAATCTTATTTTTATTAATGACTGAGGCACATGATTATTGATTGTTGAAAGGACTGAAATAATCAAATCTATGATCAAATTGACATGCAATGTATAGAGTGTAAATTTTGGCAAATACAAGCAGTAGGATTGCGGATTTAACAAAAATATTGGGTTTAAGAATTGCTAGATTGCTAATTGGCGAAAAATATGACTCTGGGTAACAAAATTTCAGTACCAAATAGCTGTTTTCCAATTATGCTAAGAAAAAAATTGACCAAAATTTTGTATGACATCATTTCAATATCTGTTAGTGTATATATTTCAATATTAAATATTACATGGTAAT